AGTCATGTTACCAGTAGTTGTCCAATTACCTGTTGATGGATCATACAACTCAGCACTATTTAAAGGACCGCTATTACCAACTCCACCAGTAACTAATACTTTCCCATTTGATAATACAGATGCTGTGTGCCATCGTCGTGCATTATTCATATCACCGGTATCAGACCATTCTAGACAGAAACACTCGATTGTATTCATTTTTGAAAGACTGTCTCTTGTAAAACCAGTGGCGTGAACGGGGGAGGAGGGAGGTGGGGCGCGAAACCCCCTTCCCCCTGCTTCCGAAAACTAATAGCAAAAAAGAGGCTTATGTCCCCCCTGCTTCTAGAAAGTTCACTTTTTTTGACTATTGAAATAGAAAAACTAGAGTTACGCCCCCCTGCTCTGATACGTGACTTACGCCCTTGTGTGAAACTCTCAAAATGATGCTATCATGTGCGGAAAGTTTTCAGATTTTGTAAAATGAAAACCGTTTCTTACTTCTCATACAAAGTTTTTCGAACTTTTTGGAGATTACAAGAAATCTTAATTTGTTGTAAAAAACCGTTCTTGATATAATACGAAAATAAGTTTCGCATTTTTGATAAAAAATAGTATACGAGGATCACATATGAAACAGGTTTATATTTTACACTTATTGTTACAATGCTTATAAGAGTGAATACTAGAGCACGTCAGGTCTGGGTTTGAAAATTTTGTTTTAATCGGGTCTGGCTCCAGGTTCGGGTATCGAAGCTTTTACTGACCAGGTCCGAATCGGAAGAAATATATTATCAACATAATATTTTTTTAAACTTCTTTAATTCTTTATTCATTTCAATCAAAAAGTCTTGAATTTATTTATAAAAATAATAGAAAAAACAACAACAAAACTATTTTCGAAGCAACTATCAGGTTTCAAGCAAAAAAATTTATTGAGAGTGTAAAAGTACAGTTCGACTTCAGGCTGATGCTATCAGGATCAGGATCGGGTCCGGCTTGGACCCGGACATGGCTTCGGGTCCGGGTCCGGGTCGGGTGGGTCTGAAAAATTTTTATTGAACGGATCCGAGTCCGGGTCCAAAAAAGTGTGGACCCGACGGGCTCTTGTACAGTTCAAGACTCGCACTGTACTTTTACACTTTCAGTAAATTTTTCTGCTTGAAATCTGATAGTTGCTTCGAAAATAGTTTTGTTGTTGTTTTTTCTATTATTTTTATAAATAAATTCAAGGCTTTTTGATTGAAATGAATAAAGAATTAAAAAAGTTTAAAAAAATATTATGTTGATAATATATTTCTTCCGATTCGGACCTGGTCAGTAAAAGCTTCGATACCCGACCCGGACCCGATAAAAACAAAATTTTCAGGCTCAGATCCAATCCGGACCCGCCGAGCTCTATTGGCGTGCGCCACAGATATACGTACACTTTTTTGAAGCAAAATGATTTTTTTTTGTTCTCTTTATACTTAAAAGTAGAATACGTAGTGATATCAAACGAAGAGAAAAAGTAGATTTCGTTGCATTGATGTCAATAAAACCACGTGAGCTATGATCGTAATGAAAAATAGTGAATGCAGAGATTGTTGCAGCTTCTTTTCTTCTTAAGATAACGATTGAATCACTCATGCCACGATCACTGTTCTTTTAATGTAACTTTTAATTAGATACTGAAAACTGTTGGATATAAAGCAACTACTTATATCTGATTTAAAAGTACCATTTAAGGAGACCAGAAAATATTTCTCTGAAGCTTACCTGACTGCTGAATTGTGGTCGTAGTTGTTGTTTGTAGTAAAGTTGTGGTCGATGCCACTAATGGTGTTGTTGTTGTTTGCGGTAAAGTTGTGGTCGTAGCTGTTGTTTGTGGTGAGGTTGTGGTCGCATCTGTTATTTGTAGTACAGTTGTGGTCGTATCTGTTGTTTGTTGTAAAGTTGTGGTCGACGTCACTAGTGGTGTTGTTGTTGTTGTTGTTGTTGTTTGTGGTAAAGTTGTGGTTGACGTCACTGGTGATATTGTTGTTGTTGGTGATGATGATGATGATGTCGCGGTGGTGGTACTAGTTTCTGATTTTTTCAATGCAAAAGCGACAAAGTTTAACACCAGAGCAACGATAACAGCCAAAACTAGTAAAACAATACCGATAATGCCGATTATTTTAACCGAACGACGGTGCCACCATTTGTGTGGTTCATTATTTACAGTAACACGCTGTCTGTGAACTCGGTTTCTATGCATATTATGTGCCAGATGAAACTTAAACACAAAGAGAACACACAATTATTCGAATCTACTTTCTGTTTGTCTATTACTCTCACGTAACTAACAGAAGATAACTGATATTATCCCAACATCAAAGGTGTTGTTATAATCTTATCTTAATGTAATAAATTTTATACGTAACTATGATAGTGCAAAACTGTGCTTCACGTCTAAGTTTTCTCACACTCTTCCTATCTGAATGTTATTATTTTTCATTCCGTCTACATCATAGTCCAAGGTCTATCTTTTTTACAAAGGGGAATCAACAGACTCCGAATCCGTAACGAATATTCTGAGGCTCTTGAAGTGATAAAGTTTGACCGAAAATATTCAGATAGCGTTCACAATATCGAAACACGATCCTGAGTTTGCTTCGAAGGATGTGGATGAGTGGTGAAGCCAGTAGCCTGACTCACACTCATCCTTAAGATTGTTGAGATTATAAAGTGCAGTTTGAAGATCGTTATCCACTATCAAAATCGTTCGAAAGGAACAAAATACCAGCATACGTTTAATATGTTTTGTTCGAGTAAACTTGACTAACATCAGGAAACTAAGATGCTATTTAAAGATTACACACATTCTTTGAGCATCCCGGCTACTTTTCATTGAGATTGCAAATATTGGGTTATAGGAAAACAGCAGTAAAGCTAATATCTGAATTAGAACTCCATACTATATCAATCGATAGAAATCAGATTGGTATCGACGTTCATAGGTTTTAAAATTCTATCTCTAGTAAAAATAGGATGAAAAACTATCGAGTTCTGCAGATGCATCACATATCCTGGAACTTTAGGTAAAGATAAAACTTTCAGGATCCTTCTTAAATCCATCAAGAATCGAGCTCAAAGATATCGAAGATTTTTATCATCAATCATTCGATGTATAGGCAACCCTACAAAAACAGCCTATCGAATAGAGAGCATATTTTTACCAGATGTTCCTATATGTGCATCTTAGCAACACTAGAAACGTCGATTACTGAAAACTATGCCAAACTACATTGAGGAGTTTCTAAAAAAACAAGATTCTGTTAGAAAATTAGAGTTTTAAAACTATTATTGTACTTTGAAGAAAAACTACGATGCTAATCAGATATAAAATACTCGATAATACTGACTCAAAATCATAAATCTGACTGACTCCTGCTAAAAAGTTATTGGATCGTGAAGGATCCTATTGGACAGTTTTGCCCTAAATATTCGTTCTTATTTGAAATAGATTTCAATGAAATCGACGTTATATATTTCATGCCAAATTCTATGAAAATTATTGCTACTTACAAGGGAACCTCCCCAGGTGATAAAGCCTTTTAGGCTCCATCTTTTGGCGATAGATAGACCTCAATGAGCTATGAAAAACCTCAAGAGGATTGTGCCCTTTCGCTTTCTATTTAGGGTTATAGGCATATTACTGAAATTTTTACCTATAGCAAGAAATCTACCAACAAATCGAATGCCAATATTTAGAGCTAAGATTTCACCCACAGACAGGTCTATATGTAGGTAGAATGTCCTGAAAATTTCAGC